CATTGAGCCGATTAACGGCCTCCAGAGGCCGATGTTTTTTTTTTTTTTTTTTTTTTTTTTTTCTCCACACGAGCCGTGAAGTCCGTAGCTTAAAGAAAGTCTCCTGGTTCATATGTAACTCTGAAATTAACAATGATCATCTACCAAGATTTTACATGAGGAGGCGAGGGTTTTTGACCAGCAAGACATCGCCACAGTCAGTCATATGCTAAAACGATCACGACTGAAGTCCTCAAGTTTGCACAATTCTGGCTATGAGAAATGCAATCCCCCTTAAAAGACCAAGTCATTCCTGAAACTTGAACGACTCAAGAGCATTGCTTTCACAATTGTAGTCGGCCTGCCTGGTCGCCATGTTGACGGGGAAGGAAAGATGCTCGTGGATCCATTTCCACTGGCCATCTTGCTTCCTCGCAATCCCCGTCCTTCGGAATGTGATGTTGAAGGGATCTCCGCCCGCCTTTCCCCAGGTGTGCTGATAGCACGTGGTGAAGGCGTGGGTCGGAGAAAGCACGACGATCTCCAGGTCCTTGTATTCCATCTGGCCGTCGACGTAATACGGGAACACATTCTCAAAGTGCTCGTTGAACTTGCCTCGGATGGTGGTCCCGAACATATCGTAGCTGAGCATCTCTTTAAAATCGTAGAACCTGCGTGATTGGTTCGCGCCGGGGTCGTGCATCGACTCCTTGTTCCAGTAGCGCAACCACCCTTTGTACAGCTGCTCGAGGATCTCCTCCTCTTCCTTTGCGAATTCCGCTTTATGGTCCTATTACCAAAACAAAAAGTAAGCCAACTTGCTCCCTCCATATTTGAGCGTGGATTGTATTTTCTGGGCTCTATTCCGTACCGTACTTTTGGGCATATTGAGGAATCCAAGCGTCTTATCAATATCCTGATATTCCTCCTGTAACAGTAGTAGTAGTATGTAAGTCGATTTTCCCCTGCAAAAGTCCGTTTGGAAAAGGAATTTTTACCTCGTCCTGGATCCAGCCTTTCACGCGTCCGTGAGCCATCTCGTCTCGTGAGTATTATGGTAGCCAGCAATGTAAGAGTTGTCGTCTTTCCCTTTACAGCGTCGCTGTTTACAGACATGCATGGACAAACGCTCAGACGATGCTTTCTTTGGCACCATATAACTGTTTTGTCGTTGACGGTCCGACTTGCGAAAAGTTGCACCGTCCCTCGTAACTGGTAGATCAAATAATTGCCCCGTGTAGCAGACTCACGTTACGAAATGGTCTCAGCTCGTCGGAGAATCTCGTCAAACACCAGCTGGCAAAATGGCATTACGTACGAATCCTGGAGAAGAAGATTGTAGCTTCGCATCATATACCGAGTATCGCAACATAGTATTCACAATAGGTTCAAAACAGTTGTGGAGATATGCTCCACTTTCAACAATCACATATCCATCTACCTGTCGGTCTAGAAGGCGTTCCCCCAGATCCCCCGCCAGCTGCAAAGCCGCAACCCTAGAGAGTAGAAAATCTAGACTGCACTCTGGAATCCGCATCATGACCATACATCCTCCTGTGGAACATTAGCATGGGGTAGAACGGAATCGTCGGCGGTCAAAAAAAGCAGTATGGGGAGGAAAAGACATACCAAGTATTGAGCCGAATTCCTCATTCTTTTGATATAGTTCTCAGCCTCAGTTAATGAAATCTTTTCCCCTTGAGCTACCAGATGGACAAGCGCCTCGTTGACATCTTTGGCCATGTGTGCCGCATCTCCGCAGACATAGAAATAAGCCTTATGTTGTAAGAGGCTGTAAATGAGGTCCGACTGCTCAGCCAAGAGATGTTGAACGTAGACCTTTTGACTGGTCTCTCGGGAGAATGCAGTGAAAAGCTGAAATTTCTCCCCAAGCGCATCTCTGTCGTCCTGTGATTCCTTTTGATTAGCCTGGGGAGGAGCAATCGCGCGATTTCCAAAAGAATGCCTTACCTGCCATTCTTTTTCATAGAGAAAATCTTCTGATCGCCGCCTGCAACCGAAGAAGAGAACTGTATGGCCGACTTCTTGGCCTGACTTTGCCAAAAACGCTCGCTCCTGGACAAATGCCCGGAAAGGAGCTACACCCGTCCCAGGGCCGACCATGATGACCGGTAATGAGGCGTCAGAGGGAAGCTTGAAGGTGGATGGCCGCACGTATACTGGTACCTTAAGCGTATACTTGCCTCGAGGACCTTCCAGGTGGTAAGTCCTTCCGTACGGATCTGGATTGACTTCGCCCGATCTCTTTTGTTTGAGAGCAAGTAAATAATTTGTTGCAACACCCTTCAGGTACTTTGTCTCTGAAGCCACCTGCCGAGATTCCACGACTGCAGTGATGGATATTTTGTGGCTCTGGACCAGAGATGACGATGAGATGGAGTAGTACCGAGGCTGCAGTCGGCGTACATTCTCGATTATAGCCGAGAAAGGCACGTCTGAAAAAGGGAGGGTAGGACTTGTGGCCTCCAGAAGCTGGGCCAGATTCAAACACTTTGCGGCGACTCCTTGGTGGAAATACTCCTTGTCACTCCCCAGCTTGGCCAGCTGCTTTCGGACATCCTCAGAAGGGCTGAACTGCGCCAGCATACCAACAAACTGCCGAGAGACAGGCACACAGATTTCGAGGTAATATCGAACTGCTGCTTCGTAGGTGGTTGGGGTCGGAAAAGGCACCTTCCCTTGACTGTCAGCCTTGATTTCAATGACTGTATTTCGCTTGTCCCAGAGACCAAACACTCTCAGGAAGCGCTCCACTTCGACATCGGCATTCATGGGCCAAACTCCCAAATGATCCCCGGTCTGGTAAGCTAGGGTGGAATCACCAATGTCGAATTCGATGTGGAGACAATTTCGCCCTGGCACGGTAAAGAGTTTAAAGGACTCGACAATCGGCGCAAGGTATGGGTTGTGGGCGCCAAACGGACCACGCTGCTCGTTAGATAAATGCATCGAGTTCGGCTCTCCAAGGTAGACGAGAGGTGCGTCTGACTGTGTTTCCTTTTCTTGCACGTCGAAACTGGGCTCGTAGACTTGCTCGCACTCTTCCAGATGCATCTCGGAAGCTAGACGCTTCCACATGGTCTCTTTCCAGGTCAAGAAATCCTCTTCTGTAGTTTTGTTGCCGCCATCGTCTCCTTCGCCGGTCTCACACAGCCGTGAGGCACCATGAGCTTCTAGGCAACTGTCCACCTTCCTAACAACGGCGTTGAAATGCTCATACGTGGAGTTTCCAAGCCCGAACATGGCGTATTTCAAACTACTCAAAGGGGTTTCTTTGTCTGAAGCAAATGGAGGATTTTGGTCGGTAATGAATTGCCAAAAGTCGACGGCGTTGTCGGTCGGTTCTCCCTCGCCATAGGTCGCCAACACAAAGATGGCGGCGCTGTCCGAAGGGAAATCCACCAGGTTTTCGTAGTCATAGTCCTCAATGTCGGCGACCAGAGTTTTTAATCCAAACCGAGAATGACCTTCTTTCGCTAACTTTCCGGCGTAGTCTTGAGCTGTTCCAGTCTGAGATCCGAAGAAGACGACCAAGTTTGTCCCTGTGGATTTCATATGCTCGACGATATCCCTAGAGTTCCCGCAGCTCTTGAATCCATCAACTCGTTTTAGGTCGTCCTCTTCCTCAGTTTTCCAGGTCTGGTGTAGATATTGTCGGGTAAAATACAGGAGAACGACCACAAACAGCAAAGGGAGCAAAGGATTCAGCTTGAGAGAGTGATCCATCGATGACTGATAGAGGCATTGTCAACCAGACAGCTTTTGCGAGATGCTCTCGGAGGCTTACCATTTTTGGTATCATCGTACAAAGCTTTGTTGAGCAGAGTAAGCTGACAAGATCTATATCGCTTCCCAACAAGTGGTCGGATGAGTGAAAGCCGTCAAGTATAGCGAGGCGCGACGTCCAGGTTGCCATTTGAGCACGACAACGGAGCTGTTGACCCTCCAACACGAGATGATATCTGCAGACTCCTAAGGTAGACGTCTTTGCAGGAGCCAGGGGATGTCCATCCAGGGCATAATAATCCGGCCAGTGGTGTATTTACACCTGGACTTTCTCCCGAGACCAACCGTCACATCAATGGTGATGTACAATCGGCCCTAATAGGCCACCATTGATAGTCCGGTAAGGCGGATAAATTTCATCTTCGGGCGGATCTCATTTTGGTTCGCGCCGGCCCCTTTAACAATAACCTCGAGCTAGAATGATGTAGCAGAACTTCGGAGACATGCACAACTCTTGCGGCTGACTTTGGGCGGGTCGAGACTTTCAATTCATCAAGACAGTAGTACATGGTTACTCGGTAGTCTGAGCTATGATTATGCTGGTGATGCTTTTGAAGTGGCATGTTTTCACGTTCAGACCTAACTAATATCCAGTAACAGGCCGTGGCAGGTACGGCTCCTCTAGATACTTTACCTCTTCATCCGTCAAATTGACCTGCAAAGCCAAGACCGCATCATCGATTCTTTCCTTTGAAGTCAACCCTAAGATGGGACAAGCACCCTTCCGCAGAACCCAGGCGGTGGATATAGCACTCATGGGCACGCCCTTCTTCCGTGCAAGCTCCTCAACGCGCTCGACAATGATTTTCTGTACTTCCACCATCCCATGGGGGAGTTTATGCTGATCGGTCTCATCTCGTTTAGTGGTTAAACCCCAAGGGCGTGCGAGCATACCTCCTGCCAGGGGTGACCAGGGCAGGATTCCAACGCCGGTATCTTCACAGTATGGCAGCATTTCTCGCTCCTCTTCTCGATACAGCAGGTTCAAATAGTTTTGCATGCTGATGAATTTGTGCCAGCCATTCTTGTCGGCGATTGCCTGTAGTTGCTGAAATTCCCACGCTGACATCTAAAACGTCCCACCATTTATTAGTCTGGCCGTCTTCAGAACTGCTGGAAATAAGAGTAAAAAGAAACTCACCGAGCTGGCACCGATATAGCGCACTTTTCCAGAGTTCACCAGATCATTGAGCGTCCGCATTAGTTCCTCCTTGGGCACATCTCTGTCAAGCCTGTGGATTTGGAAGATATCGATGTAGGTGCCGAGCCGTTCTACACAAGCATCCACGGCGTCGAACAATTTCTTGCGACTCAATCCAACTCTATTTGTTAGATGCCCGTTGTTCACCATGCACTCGGTCAAAGGGATCTGGTGACCGTCTTGACTCAGGGCAAAATACGCCTTTGTCATAATCACTATATTCTCGCGAGGAATTTTGAGCTTTTTGATTGCCTGTCCCAGGATCCTTTCGCTTTCTCCATGGGAATAGATATCTGCCTGGTTCTTGTATGAGACCAGGAACCATGGATCGTGCAGATAGAATGCAAAGACTTACAGTGTCCCATGTGTTTATGCCCGCTTTGTAGGCATGTTCGATGATGGGCAGAGAGGACTTCTCGTCAAGGACCCAGTCCTGCCATTCACTGCTTCCAAAGGACATGCCTCCCAGAATGATCTTGGACACCTTTAGTCCGGCGCGGCCCACCCTTGATAGTGAGTGTAAGCTTAGCAACCATTGTACAAAGAGACCGATACTGTGCTTACCGAGAATACTCCATGGTGAACTTTGAGCTCGACATTTTTTTATGGCCTCACTTCGGTGTAGACGATAAACACAGGTCAGCGATAAAGGTGTCTTTTTGTTGCCAATAGTTGCATATTCGGATGCCGATTGTTCTTCTACTTACAGAGCGAATGGTTCTTTTTGGAATAAGAGAGTGGCAGGTAACGAAATGGCTGCTCCCAGGACGCCACCCCGCGCTGGGGGAGGGGTCAGATAAAAGAACTGATATGTCGGCCTGGCCAAAAGTCTGGAGTATGAAATTGTGCCGCCAGCATTGAGAATGCGATCTCCGGGCCGAGCATCTGGATTTGCGGGTTGGAGACACTGGGCCAAACATCATGGGGGAATCGACGAATTCGGGCCGTTTACGGGAGGAAGATTGCACAGCTCCTGAGCAAGTCGACCCATGAGTTACGTAGGAAAGGATCAATATCTAGATATACCGCCACAGCCAACGTGGTTTCTCCAGACAGACCTGTAGGCTAGAAAAAGGCCCAGATATATATTCCTGTTCTCGATTCAACCTTTGCATAGAGTCTGTTTACGACGGTACAAACTTGTCGGCATCACCGCTACGCTACACCTTTGACCACGGGAGTTCAGACTCGACAATGGCGGTAGAGGCTGGCAGAGTGGACTGGCACTCGATGCCTAAGAGCTTCCAGGGGATGACCGCTTGGTACATATGCGTCGTCGCGATTGTTGCCTATGGAATTTACCGGATCCTTCAAATCGGGCGAAGAGACAAACGCATGCCTCCAGGGCCTCCTACACTACCCTTGTTGGGAAATCTTCACCAGATACCTATCACTGGGATGTACAAAAGGCAAGTCAGTCGAAGTTATATTCATGAGATTCGTGTATAACCTGCCAAACTAACGGGTTTCTTTCAGATTCAAGGAATGGGGCGAGGAGTTCGGCGGAATCTACTCCCTCAAGTTCGCTTCCTCTAATGTCATCGTCCTCTATGACCGCAAGGCAGTTCATGATCTGGTAGACAAAAAGGGTTTGCTCTACGCAGAGAGACCTCACAGCTTCGTGAATGATCTGGTTACCCACGGAGACAGCCTTGTGTTTCAAGACCACCATGAAAGACAGAAAGCCAAACGCAAGATTGCCACCCACAATTTCTCTGTAGGGCTCCCTCCCATTCAAACCGTACTTGGAAAGACAACTAACGTGCCGTGTTAGCCAAAAGTACTGGATGAGAGAGTCGCCCCCGTTCAAGATGCCGAGTGAGTCCTGGTTTCTGATACCTGACGGCGGATGTCTCAGAGCCTTTCGTTCCTTGTTAGCTTCGGGTGTATACGGCAGCTAACCCCTCGACAGGGTGACAGTCTTGTTGAATGATCTCATCCAGAAGCCCGAGGACTTCTATAACCACATGAAACGCTTGACCTCATCTATCGCTTGCATTCTGGTATTCGGTCACCGAGCCCTGTCGTATGAGGACTTCTGGGGTCATGTAAGACAAGTGCTCGCTCGATATGGTTTTGTGAAAAGTACTGACCGACATATCTAGTGTGTTTACGATGCATTGGACAAGGTATTGTTGACCAGCAGCACCACTTCACGGTATCCATGTTTTTGACAGTGTGTCTAGTTTGGAGAAGCCCTGGAGCCTGGAGCAAATCCGCCAGTGGACGAGTTCCCCGTGCTCAAGTATCTGCCCGAGTTCCTGTGTCCCTGGAAAACCCGAGCCAAATACGCCGGGACTGTGATGCACAATATCTGGAGCGAGGCGCGCAGAAGAGTCGACGAACGAAGGAAACGGGGAGACATACGGACCTCTCTTGGCTCCCTCGCCGACAAGCTCTTGGATGAGTACACAGAAAAGGGCTCCCCCTTGAGCAAGCAAGAGCTTGACCACTTTTTCGGCTTACTTGTCGAGGGTGGCGCTGAAACGACTTCTTCCACGATGCTGACCCTTGTTCTCTGCCTCGCCATGAACCCTCACGTCCAGGCTAAAGCTCAGAGGGAGCTGGACGTCGTCTGTGGTACAGAACGGTAGACTTCGCCCTCTCTTCCCTCAAGATTTACTGTGCTAATCACACCGCCACAGGATGCCCCAGTGGTCAGATTTCAATCGTCTTCCCTACATAAACTGCATCATCAAGGAAGGAATGAGATGGCGTCCTGCGTATGCCGCCACTCACAGTATCTGGAGATATTGTTAATGTTTTCTTCTAGGGCGCCTGTCGGCATTCCCCACCGCGTGGCCGAAGATGACTACTACGAAGGAATGTTGATTCCCAAAGACTCGACTATATTCATTCCTACATGGGCTCTGCACCATGCGGAGCGGTTTGGCTATGACGACCCTTATAGCTTCAAGCCTGAGAGATACACCAACCATCCGAAGCTTGCCAACGACTATGCCGGTGGTGCCGACTACAATAACCGAGATAAGCATTCCCTCTTCATCCTAAGTAGATGGCTACAAGCTAACTCATCGTACATCATTATGGCTACGGCAGTGGACGTCGCATGTGCCCCGGTATCCATTTGGCAGAGCGTACGCAATGGAGAATCGCAGCCAAACTACTCTGGGCTTTTGATATCCTTCCCGGTTTGGACCCGGCCACGGGGAAACCGGTCAAGTTGGACCCCGACAACTATATCGAAGGTCTACTGCACGGTCCAGCTCCGTTCAAGTGTGTATTTAAACCAAGAAGTCAAGCACATATTGACGTTATCACACGGGAGCTCGCCAGCGCCAGGAAATTCCTTGCTCCATATGAGTGAGGCGGCCAGCAGGATCATTCAAGGCATGCATCGTAGATATCGCAATTTTACCCATAGTGCCCCTGTCAGGGTTTCAATACCAGCTTATCAGATTATCTTTTGTTGCTGTGTTGCTTCGGGAGCAACAAACTACGACGGAGTAATTTTACGAGGTTTTGTTCATCGCCTTTTTGAAAGTTTTCTCTTGTCTGTGCCCAATCTATTCGCTCGTCGAGGGCCGCAGACATTGCGTGTAGAATGCCCTGCTGGGGATGCTGCCAGGAGAGACGAGAACCCTGAGACGGCTCTTCTTCCTCTCTTGACGTGACCAGGAAGAACTCCTCCACTGGCGTATGTTGCGATGTTGTCATCGGGCAAAATGGGACTCTAGCGCGCTTTGATAACGGAGGAATTCTGAGCGTTTTTGGTGCTTGCAAACGAAGACTAGCCCGGTGTCGCTATCCTCGACTCTCTCGGTGTTCAATTCGGCAGTCCGCATTGGGCGGAGCGGTTCCAAATGTTTGGCAGCTCCCCCACGGGGTATTTCGGTTGGTAGAGAGACTGATAGGTCCAAGCATCTCGGCGTCGACACTGCCGATCTTGCACTACTTGATCGCTTCAGCATCACCCCGTAACTCAGCTTGGAAACTCACAAGCTCCAAATCAGGCCGCAGAGCATTTTCACACCCCCTGGAAATTGCACCGCAGGCTGAAAAGAGACGAAGAAACAAGATGGGTTTAGTGATGGTGGCTAGAGCCAGCCATGATACAAATAGAACTATCATGAGACCCCCAACGAACCATACCTCCAAGAAAATAACTTTGAACGGAAAAAAACAGCGACAAGAGAGACATCTCGGTATCTCTTGCTCTCACCATGGTCAAACTAACACTCTTCAATAAGCTCATCGTGGCCTTTGTTGCCCTGGGCTCTTATACCTATGGGTTTTGTTACGCCATCTTCGCTACTTCCATTGGGGTGCCCGGCTTCTACTTGTACTTTGATCTTGAACGTGAGTTTTTCTTGCTGTCTACAGAGCTTAACAAGCGACACGCTCACTGACAAACGCCCAACAGCTACGAGCTCGTACACTGCCAGCATTATAGGAGCCGTCAGCTCCCTATTTGCCGCAGGTGCCGCCTTTGGCGCCATTTTCCAAGGATGGCTCGCCGACTGGGTTGGACGGAAAAACAGCCTGATTGTCTCCGCCATCAGCTCCCTGATCAGCTCAGCATTGGTCGCCGGCAGTGTGAATGTCCCCATGTTGGTGACATGTCGTTTCCTACAAGGTTTCGGACTGGGGATGTTGCTCGCGCTGGTTCCCTTGTACATCTCGGAAGTGGCTCCGCCACATCGTCGAGGAGCTCTCACGGCCTTCACCGCAGGGGGGTTCGCCGGTGGTTATTTCACGTAAGCTTCAAAGTCGCCCAATTCCTTTTGCTCAGTGTGTGCTTGTTTGATCCTGACACATGTCTTCCAGGTCTGCGTGGATCGGTTATGCGTGTTACTTTGCAAAGTCCCTGACAGTGCAATGGAGACTTCCCCTTGCGCTGTGCTGTGTCTCGCCACTCTTCATGCTTGCAGGCGTCTGGTGGCTGCCAGAGTCACCCCGGTATCTGAGCTTGAAAGGTCGCACAGACGAGGCATGGGACGTTATTCGAAGGATCCATCACGATCCAACCGATCCCGGCGACACAGCTGCGCGCGCCGAATACATCCAGATCACGAGACAGGTCGATTTCGACAAGCACACCAAGGCGGGATATTTGGACATGTTTCGACACCCGTCCTGGCGAAAGCGAGCTGTCCTGACAATCTTCCTTATATTCGCCATGCAGTCGGCCGGTATTCTCGGCATCACCAACTACGTGGTTCTCATTTGCCAAAGCTTGGACCTGTCAGGCTCTATGCCCCTGCTCATGTATGCTGTCTACATTGTGGTTGCGGCATCGGCAAATTGGGCAAATAGTCTTGCAGTCGACAGGATGGGTCGGCGAAAAATGTTTTGTAAGTCGATGCGTTTCCTATTGCGATGGAGTTCTAGGAGCTGACTTCGGGGCTGCAGTGATCGGGATCCCTACGACTGGAGCTTGTCTTTTGGCAGAGGCTCTGCTGCAAAGGCAGTACGTCGGGACGCAGGACAAGCCGGGGCTCAGTGCCGCATTGTTCTTCATCTTCCTCTTCGGGGTATGCTACGGATTCTTCTTGGATCCAACACAGTTTGTGTGGTGCGCCGAGATCTATCCCACGACTCTCAGAGCCAAGGGGCTGGGACTCACCTTCTTCACCTACTTTATCGGCGCCATCACCTACACCACTCCGGCGGCGACGGCCTTTAAGAACATCGGATGGAAATACTACTTGGTCTGGGTGGCTTGCGACGTCGTGTCTGTGGTGATTGTCTACTTCTACATCCCCGAGACCACCGGCCTCTCCCTGGAAGAGGTTGGAGCGATCTTCCGAGATACCGTCATTGTCCACCTGACCAAAGACGGCCATGGGCTGATGGAGGCAGACCAAATGGACAAGGCACCGGCTGAAGAGGTCGAAGATCTGAACGGCAAAGTCGACATGGAGAGCATTAGCGTGCAGAAAGTAGGCGGCTAGGGCGGAAAGAGAGAGAGAAAGAGAGAGAGGGTGAGACAGACAGACCCGATTGGGTGGGCCCAAGGTTGATGTTGAGTTTGGATTGTGGGCTCCTCGAATTTGTCCATACTTCCAAGTGTCAAGTGTACAGTAATCCGTGGTTCGAGAGTGAATCTTGGGAGGACCCGGATGGGTCCTGACGTCGAGGCCAACATTGGCGAGATGGAGTAGAGGATGTGGAGGACGCGGAGGCAATGCCGGACATAGCTAGGTACCTAGGTAGTCAGATCGTTGGCACAGATTGTGCTTATCGAAGTTACTCCGTTATTAATCCGCAATACTTCGTACGTGGAGTACAGGAACTACGGGGTAACCTCAGTGAATTCGACTTGCCTATTCGGGTAAAGATCGCTTTCTTTCCCTCCCCAAACTTTTGCGCGGGGCCCCACAGGGCGACTTTTTGCGACCAGCTGGTCGGGAACAGCAAGGCGAGGGAACCGAATCAACTGAAAATCTCCATTTTTTCCACCCTCTAATCGTATTCTCAATCTTCCTTTTTGTGGTCCTCACTCTTGAACATGGTACAGTAGATGAGCCACGAACAACAATACGCATTGACCATGCCTGATGTTTCTTGCGAACCCTGCCGACGGTACGTGGCGTGCGGTCGCCTTCACCTTGTTTTTTTTTCTCCCTTGGATGAAAACTAAACTATGTCCTTGCTAACGACTTGGTGGTAGACGCAAAGCCAAATGGTGAGCGAAGCTATGACTGATAGAAGAGAGAGCGCTCTCGTGGCAGCGCGCTGACTTGTCACAGCGATCGTAAAATACCATCGTGCAGCCTCTGTCTGAAAAGCTCTCAGACCTGCACCTATCCGCTGGAGAGACTACGTCCTGGGCCGAAGAAGGGTACTATTAAAATTCTTGCATTTTTTGTATGTTTTGTTGCGACACACTGCTGATCAGAGTACCCTATCAATTATTTTCTTTTCAAGGCTCGACCCAGAAGAAACCACGACTGTCCAAGAAGAAACGATTTCGGAGCGAGGAATGCAAGCAGCAGACAAGCCATCATGAAATGGCGGCCACCGAATGGCACAGTGTGTCGATGGCCAATGAAGACGAAACCTCGACATCTGGGAGAAGTCACCCAGCGAGCTTATTCACGCCTACCCAAACATTTGCGCCACCCCTTCAGATGCCCTCGCCCGGGACGACAATCACGACAACCGCCGTTAACCGACAAGATCTGTCAACCCACTGTCATGATGTGCCTAATATGGCTCCCCAGCTAGGCGCTTCTGGTTTCGTTGAGCCTCCAGCGAAATGGGGCCAGGCGCCTAATGAGGTGCCATTCGGCGAATCCTTGATCAGTTGCTCCATGGACGAATCCGATGCTATATCGCACACGTCTCACGCGTTGAACATCTCTCCCGCTGTGCTTGGAAGATTGTGAGTAAACCAGAGTGCTCGTCGCGAATGCTATGTTCCCGCGCGCGCGGGCTGACATGCTCTCTCTTAAAAGGATCGATGCCTACTTCTCCAACATGACCGCCTTTTCATTATTCCATAGGCCCACCTTTACGCAGAAGCTGAGATCGATGGGGCCATCGCTCTACTTACATGCGCTTCTGGCGTCCATGTGCTCATTCTCTGCTCGCTTCCTCAACGAAGCCTCAGACCACATGCCGGGTAACCCTTTCGATGAGATGCCCAGCGAGATTCCTTGCGCCGACCACTTTCATCAAGTGGCCCTGCGTTTCGAAGAAGAATCATTGACACAGTGTTCAGACAACACTCCCCCACTAGAATTCTTGCAAGCCATTATCTTGACAACTTTCTTCCAATTGACCAAGGGAGTGCATGGCCGCGCTTGGAGGTGGCTTGGGACTTGTATCCGTGTGGCGCACGAGTTGGATCTGCACAGACTCGATGCAGATAAGCAGCACGGCCATGTCCCTTCGACGACCGACGATATCCTCGCCTGGAGCGAAGAAGAGGAGCGCAGACGCTGCTGGTGGGCCGTGTGGGAGATGGACACTTTCGCAAGCACGGTCAGGGGCGTCCCAACGGGCCTGAACTGGTCGCAGAGCAAAGTGTTTTTGCCAGTTGAAGATCGACTGTGGTTCCAGCAGAAATTCCATGCCAGCTGTTTCTTAGCGGCCAAGCCCGCAGACCGATGGAAACTTCTCCAACGGAGCGGCAACGAAAGCCCCGTAGCTTGGAATCTAGTTGTGATTTCGCTCACTCGAGATGCACAGACGACGTCGTATCTGGGAAGGGCGCTGGGGACGACGACATATTGTGAGCCTGAGCAGCAGCAGCCTCGGCCCGCTCCAACCCAAGGACAGGACGACAAGAGGACACACAACAGCACGGTGGAAGACCAGCTCTCCATAATCTCACATGCGCTCCAGTGTACTCTCCTGGCTCTTCCGGACGCTTTGCAATACCACGGCGAGCCGCTCGCCTTTACGTCTGTCGAACCCAATCAGTTGCCCGTCAGTAGCATGCTGCATCAGGCCAAATACAGCATATACGTTCTGACGGAGCTGACGAGGTTCATGATCGCGCACTATTACACATTCTGCACGGGCGTCGTCAAGCCTCATCTCTCATCAAGACGCGGCTCGGACAGGGACATCTCCGAGGCGAACCGCCATCCCGGTACGCTACTGATGTGCGTAACGCAAAAGCCCAACGCGAACGGGCTCCAGCAATACGTAGAAGCTTCCGACCGAATCGTCCTCCTGCTCAACCGGTGCAGCAGCACGCACGTCCGCTACGTGAACCCTTTCTTGGCCACCTCCATCTGGCTCGCCGCGACGGTACAGCTTCTCAACAAGAAATTCGGGCCCTCGGGCGGCAACCGCGAGCTCGCCGAGGCCAGGTACAACGTCCTGCGCCTGACGTACAAGCAATTCATCAAGTTCTGGGGCACGCCTATCGGGCTGTTGCAGACGCTGGATTCTTTGGAGGATCGGTTTGACCACCTTCTTCGATCGGGGGAAGGGGGTGGTGGTGGTGGAGGAGGGGATTCCGATGCCGCCAAATCTGCTCAGAGACCACTGCCTTTCAGCCAAAGCGCCCAAGGTCTCGACCAAGTCCGCAGCAGGCGGTCGGATACGACGACGACGGTGAGTCTTTCAGGGTCACAGTCCCGGCCTTCGAATTCATACACCAGCGCCCTCACGGAGCCGAATCTGACGGGCTCTGGCGTGAACCCGACCATGATGGGTTCTTCCTCAGTCCACTCTTCCCGGGTGGTAGACGAACCGTATCAAGAGGACATGGACAACTTTGCTTCCTCTGTCACAGGAGCAGGACTCCAACCACGGCAACAACAGCCGATCCAACCCCACGGCGCCGAGAGCATGGTGAAAGAAGGCGTCGGCGGTGGACGGATGGATGATTCGAGTGCCGTTGATTTTGGTCCAATGACCTCGACCGCTCATGATCCGACCCTGGACGACGGTATGAGGCTCCCGATGAATTTCGACTACGACTGCGACAACGAACTTAGTCTCTATCTCAACAATCTGTTATCAGGGTCTTATAGTGGGAGCCTGGGACCGTTGTAAAAAGAAAACTTTAATGTGAGAAAGTATTTAGAAGAGGGATATTTTTTTCTCCCGAAAACCCTCTCTTCAAAGCCTTGTTCAATATGTCGGGGAAGATCGACATCTTTCTGCATCACGTCTTGACGCGTCGCTTGCTTGACCTGGTAGTGGACCACCACTTGTGACAAGGCGGGTCTTTGAATTTGCATCGGATGTCTATATCCTTCGAGGCTCCATAGCGTATGCATCTGGCTCTCCGTCGACATCTTGGCCCCCAGTAGTATTATGGAGCCGTACCTTGCAGAGCCGTTTTTCAAGCCGCGCTTTCCACTATGTTCCAGCGCGGCGGCCCCATACCAGAATATTCAGCGGCGGCTCCTGACCTCTCCAGTTGAACTAAGCGCCATTCTGAGCTGTGGGTGTGCGGTCCTGAGTAGCGAGCGTAGCCAAAAGTCCGTGAGGGCTACCACAATTTGTCCCTTGAGTTCCCAGTTTGTATTGTTTCGTGTATAGAGAGTGGTGCCAGAGTGTGCTAGTCACTTGACCAACGTAACGCTGCCTTCCCTCTTGGTACGGGCTGCCAACCTTCTACAGCACCAAGTGCACCTCTTCTTCTCTCTCTTCTTTGTTAGCTAGAGATAGCCCAACACAATACAGACGCCACTGAGGCAGTTGAGCCAATACGACTTTGATCCGCACTGCACGAAACTGGCGACCAGCCAAACTCAATGCAGACGTTTTCGTGCTCGACGAGAGCACGCACAGTATCTGAATTCGCCACAATTTGGGGATCTTCCCAGCATCATTCGGTTATGGAGCCCTCCCAATAGGTGTTGCATGGATTTACATGGTCCCAAAGGGCCATGACCGACGCCTCTGGAAGGGGCATGCCTCCCACAACAAAATGCAGAGCAGTTCTGGGGAAAGTGGTCAGCCCAAGACAGCGAGACCGGGAAAGAGACATACAGTTGAATAGTCGTGCGTCCGCAATAACTCCGAAGTACCGTCGTAGTCGTGTCTGCACCTGCGTCAAGATCTGGACTGGCTTCTTAGGCTATGAAGGATCGGCCGGGTTCCTTCATGGCGGGAGGACCATCGGGCACAAGCCGAGTGGATGCATGCAAAAATCCCAACGACCCGGAACCACGTTATAGCGATTATTCTAGACATTTTACTAATGGAGTCACTTGCGTTCCCGAATTCTGGGGATCGTTCGCTTTCAGGATAGTATGGCTCGCCTTTGTGCAAATCTACGACATCATCAACGTCTTTTCAACAAGTGCCGAGTCAAGGGGATGCACTGGAAACATGAACGAGGTGGGATTTGGCGAGATCATCTCTCTGGTGCTCCTGGTTTCCCCTTTGATGGCTGCGATCGAGGCCCGCGATGGTTGGTTGTCGCAGAACTTGATGGGTTCTTCTCGCTGACAATGGATAGATTACAATGATAAGAAGAGTCGGCAAAAGCATGATAGGAAAGAGAACTTAGCGTCTGAAGAGGGAAACGAGACGAGCAGCATCGCACCAGAGCCGGCTCCGATCTCCTCTACTGTAACATTGCCAAGCGCTGTTGAAGCACTGTCGAGACTCTTGACCTATCCAACATAGAGCGTAAGGTAGCCACAAAACGCGCTTTTATCACAATTCCATACTTGAGCATCATGGTCATCGGTGACAAGAGTATTGTAAACTCGGCTTTGAAGCAGAACACTATTTGAATTGAATCGAATGGTTTTGCTGCTCTCCCACCCAGGTCAAGTACTCGGTAAGTCTGCATGAATCTGGCTGTGGGTGGCTGGTAGCTGGGGCACGTGCTGAGGTTCAAAAGCGAAGTGGATCCGATCTCTGCAGGGACCAAGTTTGTCCGCAAATGGACGGAGGATCTTTATTTCCCTCGGTGGCAGACTCTCGAAAACGAGGTATAACATTAACATGGACATGGAGATATAGAAGTAAGTACCTAGAAGAGAAGTCCTGACTGTATAACTCCAGCTTGAGAGGCAAATACTCAATGGTGATGACCCCCCAAGGTCGTACCGTTATCCACGCTCAACATACGGCCCAGTCAATCAAGGCGATTCATTCCCTTAAACATAGAAGCAAGGCTATGTACCGAGTACTCCAGCGAATATTATCTTGAGCGTACATTACACCCCACCCAATCTTGACCACGCGATTTGCTTGGCTCATCATCAACCGCGATTTATCTCTTCATTCTCCAACTTCTTCCTCTCGCCCGTCCCCAATTGGCACCTGCACCTGGTGCAGAACAGTTGAACAGTTGATGTCTGTCTATCCCGTCTTTTTTGCATTATGTAAAGCCCCTCCCCTCCCTCCCTCGGAGAACACGGGCGGCATTTTTTTGGGCGGCTGTGATGTTCGGATGTTTGACAGAGAACTGTCTCTCACGTCATGAATTGGGCAGTTGGGAGCAAAGATATTTCGGGGAATAACGTGGTGGTAGATAGATCGACAAAACGAAGGCCATACATCCCTCGTACATATAGAATGGATCAAGAAAACTATACCAGCTCGACATAAGTACCTTTACATATCACAAAATGGATTTGCCCCTTTTTGTTTTCCCATTATCTGTCTAGATGACAACGTGTTCTTTCGAATTGGCGTACATCCTAGTCTTTGATATTATTACCTACCTAGGTGACCGAGTTACTCATAATAAATACTTAGTAGTTAACGGACTGACTTCAGTGAGGTATGTCAATTGGCCCGGTATCTATTGAGATTAGCCCGCCAGAACCATTCTATACACAATCCCATTTTTGCTATCCTTTGCCGGAGGATCTGAATATCAAGGTTTATTCTTCTTTTTCTTTCTTTTTCTGTTTTCAGACAAATCTATGTTCATGTCGCGGCTTTCCTTCTTCCTCGTCTTCTTCTCAAATTGTCGATCGTTTGGGGAACAAAACAACCAAGCCTCGTTTCTGTCTGCATCGTTGATCATTTCCATTCCCAACAGATTAGACGCAAGGATGGGTCGCCTATACAACTGGGGCTGTGCCATGGTGGCTGGATCCGGTAGCATGCTCTACGGCTATGATGCAGCCATCATCGCTTCGACGTAAATCGTAGACCAAGCCTCCCAAGATGTCAATCAAGGGCTTACTAGATCCCCAGATTTGCTCAGACCGGCTTCATAGATTACTTCAAGCCCAATGCGACAGTAATGGGGTATGTCGTTCCACTGAGCTTGTCCCCTCCTCCCATCTCTTCTGCTGCTTGGGCTGACTTTGTCTCGACTCATCATCAGGGCGATCGGATCGAGTTACTTTGGCGGCGTCGTTCTTGGCCTGATCCTCATCACCATGATTGCCCAGAGGCTGGGTAGGAAGAGATCCATACAGGTCGGCGGCGTGATAGGTCTCGTCGGCGCCATCATGCAGACCGCCGCTCAAGACATTGCCGTCTTCTTTGTCGGCCGGGTTATCGCAGGAGCGTCGTCTGGCATCATGTTGACCACTGTCAACGTGTACCAGTCTGAAATTGCACCGCCCAAGGAACGAGGTGCCATGGTCGCGTTCCAGCTTCTCGTCCTTTCCGCAGCCGGAGCCCTGGCGTCGTGGGTCGGATACGCATGTCACTTCTCATCCAATGCCACCTTCTCTTGGTATGGATCACGATCCCCAGACTTCCTCGTTGGAAACATGGTTCACTAATAGTGAGGCATAGGCGATTCCCTATAGCTCTTCAGATGTTTCCGGCCATAGCTCTCATCATAGGATGTTTTTTCATTCCTTTCTCCCCCCGATGGCGTAAGTGTGTCCATGTGTTTGTACCTTGCATATTGTCGAGCAACAAAAATGGGGTCATCGAAGCTGACCAGAGCATTATTACCCACAATCAAGTCATCTCACGAGACCGTCATGCGGAAGCCCAGGCGGTTCTGAAAAGATTACACGATGACCACGAAGACCCGCTCTTCTGGGAGAAGGAGTATCTGCAAATATCCGCGCAGCTGGCTGAAGAGGCCAGAGAGAAAGCCACAAGCTCTTGGGTTCATATGCTCACCAACAGGAAAGAATTGAAGCGAACTTTGGTCGCGATCGCGGCACTTACCTGCCTGCAAACAAACGGCGCGCAGACTATCCAAGTATATCAGGTAAGCTCGACCGATTATCAACAAGGTTACTTACATGACGCTGATCTTTCCCCCAGTCGGTGCTTTACTCAAACTTGGGCTTTTCCGTTGGACAAACGTTGCTGATGGCCGGTGTTTTCCAAATCATCTTGACCGTAGGCTGTCTTCTGGGCTTGTTCTTGGTCGATCGAGTTGGTCGAAGAAGACTCTTTCTGGGCAGCTTCATTGTCCTGTCAATATGTCTCGGTATATTTGCAGCCTGTTCTGCCAAATATGAATCCACTGGTCGTTCAGGTAACTTCTCCCTCTGTCATTTGATACTCGACATTGCTAACCTTCCACAGGCTATGGTAAGGGAGGGGTGGCAATGGTCATGATCTTCATCTTCTTCTTTGGGTCCATCTCCGGAACACCTTATGCATATGCCGCAGAAGCCTTAGCCACCAAGAATAGGGCGACCGGGTTTGCCATGGGACTCTTCAGCTCCAACGCAATCACCATTATATTCACTCAGACCGCGCCAATGGCCTTGGAAGCAATCAGCTGGAAGTTTAATTTCGTTTTCATCGGATGTAACCTCGTTTTCTTCCCCATCGTCTTCTTTTACTTTCCTGAGGTAAGTGCCTTCTTCCCCTTGTGAGCTTCGTTGAACGGCATGACTGACGATGCAATAGACCAGAGGCCTGACATTAGAAGAGGTCAATTCGGTCTTTGGGGAGAAGGTCCAGGTGCAGCTTTCCAGCATTAGCAACGAAGCAGCGGAAAAACAAGTCATCCAAACGACTGAAATGATAAAGTCTGGGGCGTCAGCCTGATGAATGCGCGACAACATCTAGACCACCCTCCGGCTTTTCTCTGGGCGAGAAAGAGATAGTTATCTTCAATCGTTGCTGCGGTTGAAATCATAAAAACAAAGGTCAATCATATCATATGCGCTTTCATGTCGTGTTTGTCTTGGTCTCTTGACCTCTTGGTCTCATTATATACAATAACCGTTTCCCCTTGAACGGGGGCAAACTTGTCTTCTAGTTGCCAGATTTTGTTCTTGCGGGTTTCCTTTCCCAGGTTGAGTGACACCACGGCTTTCAAAATAACGTCATGAACCCTCGCACTAGAGGCGGTAACCGCCTCGTGTCACTAAGCCTAGCAAGCCCTCGAGTAGTTACCCGGCGAGATCGGTAGGAATATTAAACGATTTACGGTTGAGGTACGTCTCCAGTCCGCTACCTAACTAGACGCTTTAAATGATTTACCGTGAACCGTCTATGGCATTACTGATAGGGTAGGGTATGTTTCTCCAAAATGTTGTCAGGGAATGGCTCAGCATTGCAATCAGATTCCTGACCATACAATGTCCCAAATAGGCAGGAGGAAGCATAATCAAGATCAGAAATGGGAGATGGCTCCAAATGACATCTTGTCTACTTGTTGTCAATTCCTGTTCGCCCCTCCTCTTCAGAGGACTCTCATGGGGTACCTTGAGCGAGGTGGCTCCGAAAGAAGTCACCAAAATCGACCAAATCGTGTCAGGGGAGGGCAATACCATATACAATTTCAGTGTATCTCTGAACTATAGAATTTATTGCAAAGCATCCTCCCTTGAGATGAGTTTCACGTTGAAGTTTTCGAAGTACGCAACACCTCCAGCTACGACATATTTTCCGGCTGTCACAAGCTCCAGGTCGAACCGCCGAATGATCTAAAGAGACTGGGGTCAAATGGGGTACAATTATCTTCCATGACAGGGTTTCGTTTTGTCCTCATGCTGCAGAGAAGAAAAGCACAGATGTAACATACCTCGGGGAGGAGCTTATGTAGCTCAATAATGGCCACGTCCTTTCCTAGACAAATTCGAGGGCCAATGCCGAACACGAATTGGTGAAGCTCGAGTTCTGCTGCCTTTTCCTTGCTTTCCAGCCATCTCTCAGGACGGAAAGCCTCTGGATCAGGATAGAGGTCGGGATCTCTCTGAACGACGTATGCGTTGCTAGTAATCTCCGTGCCAGGAGGAAGGAATTGGCCTTCGATCACCTTGCCGCCTTCTCCTACCACACGGCCGAAGAGATTGTCGGCAGGAGGACACAGTCTGATCGCTTCTTTGATGCAGGCGCAGAAGTAGGGAAGATACTCCCGCGTCTCTTCATATTGGATCGGAGTGGAGAGCTTGCCTTCCTTCTCTGCGACAAGAATTTCCTCCCAAGCACGTTGCTTTGTCTCGGGATTCAGAGTCATAAATCGTAGAGTGGCCCCGAGAGCGGTCCCTGTGGTATCAGCCCCGGCTTGAATGAGTAGTGTGACATGAGCGCGTTTCTCTACGGCGGTGAGGGGCTTTCCATCCCGGCGGGCATCGAGACAGCTATTATGTGATGATCAGCACTCGGGCTCCGGCATTCCCGATATCGCCTGGACTCACTATTGAAGGTAATCTGGTTGCTTCATCACCAATCCATCTTCTACCTCCTTCTCACGATGACTGACTTGCTTGTCGGCCCAGTTCATCAAGTACCCGAACCCATTTTCGTCAGTCTCCTTGGGAAGGAAGCGTTCACCTACACCGGGAATAGACAGGATCTTTCGAAAGGTAGTCGAGCGTCCGGCGAACCCAAACAGAGGAAGTCCTCGGCGCCAGCTGCTGAGGATGCCTCGTTCGTCACGACTGTTCTTGACAAACCCCCAGGGCTCGCTGAAAGAAAGCATAGTCATGACATCGGCTGCAAATTCACTTGTTGAAATTCAGCCATCTCTCTTCAAATGACATCCACGTACGTCACTTACGCCACTCTTTCAGACATTAAGACTTTCTCTTTAGCTTGAGCCTTTTCCGACATCTTGCTGATGAATAGAGAGACCAGATCGTCGAGGCGAGGCTCCCATTTATTTTTGAGGAACCCGATCGTCCACTAGTCAACGAGGCATTCAGTCAGTCATCCAGTGTCGAAGATGTGGAGTTAGATGAAAACATACTTGCTGCCCACCGAGAGCCTTTCTCAAATTCTTGTGTTCTTCGCCATCAAGGGTGGTAAACAGATGAGGAGGTCCCATTGCACCCGTTCCGTACAGGGACATCTTGCGGTTACATTTGGGATCCCAGTAGATATCTTTGAGAGCAGAAGGTTGTGGAAACAATAACACTGACGGAGAGATGCGGATCGGCTCCTTGGCTAAATTGACGTAGTCGGTCAGCATACATCTCGTGCCAGTGAAAATGGTCAGACGTACTGCCGTATCTCTTCACTACGTCCATAAGCCATTGTGGCTCAACTTTCAGGACGGATATGATGGCGATCGGAAGAGAAGATGCACCGGCATACCAAGGACCATGGTACTTGGCCAGCGGGTGGAAGAAGAGGTTGTAGATGAGCCGATAGCACAAGATAATTGCCGCTGTCACCCCAATGATTGGAACAGCATCCACAAAGGACATGGGAAAGCTGTGCGCGAGCATGGTCGCACCTTTCAGCGCTGGAGATAAATCAACCAAAGGCTGTACTCTTGTAAATTAGGATCAGTGTTGTTCGGTTGAAGCTGGAGGATAACAGACTCTCGTGCTATAAGTGCCGCCTTTGATATAGACGCCTGCCTATCTATGCTCCCAGGTCCATACATTTCGGCGCTCAATCTCCGTCAGTCGTCGGTGCTTTGCAACTCCGGCCAATTGACCACCTCTCGAAGGAGACGCATGTCGTTGAGAGTAGCACCAGCAACCTCGTAATAGTTACGCCAAGAAGAGGCTACATCCGAGGCACGATCAAGGCTTGTTGTCCTTTACGGGTTACAATGCCAATCCCAGCTCTTCGATTTGTCGAATCTTACGAACCTTGTGACATGGCGTCACCGCCCCATTGTCATCACCAGAAGTAAATCTACTGAGAGAGATTTGCTTTGACTTCGAACCAGATACTCTGATCGACGAAGATGCGGACTCTGTTCTCCAGAAGTCGGGCTTTCACTGAGCTGAGTCGCGTCGTTGTTGATGAGTCTGGCAACGTTCATAGGCCCCGCCCGATGAGGATGCAAGCCAGCACCCTAGTGGATCTTCCCGAGCGGGGCCTGGAGAATAGCAACTCCGGGGTCCACGTTCCCCTTTTCGGCACGGGCAGCACAGTGAATCGATATGAGCCTATTAAATTCAATGTCCCAGGTTCCGGTATCCCCCGCTCTTTCGACAAGATTTAGGGTTTCAGTGGGGAGAGAGAGAGAGAAGACAAATAAATACAGGCACCCAAATCCCCCGACTATGATCATACAGCCTGCATCACATTCACTTTCTATGATTCCATGTCACAACATACTGCTTTGATTGCTTTGAAATCAGCAAGCACCGGAATTCGACGTCAAGATGAAGTTTAACCTCTTCAATATTCTGCTCGTGGTTTTTGTGGCGCTTGGTACGCCGTTGACCACGTATGGATTTTCCATCATTAGTTTAACGTCTAGCCAACCACATAGCAGACATTCCATATGATCGTAGTTTGAACAAATACAGTCTATGTGTACCTCAGTTTGGCCGCCATAGGGGGAGCCTGGCCATGCACATACCATGAAAATCCTCGGAAGACTGGAAGGTGCGAACAGTGGCTGTGTTTTTTCGGGATGCATCCTCAGTGCCTGGACCGCCAACAAGAATGGCCGCAAACCTACCATGATGATCGGGTGTGTTTTCATCATCATTGGTGGCGCCTTGAATGCTGGCTCCGTTGCCATCTCCATGTTTGCCATCAGCCGCGTTGTGGCTTCATGGCCATCATCACGCCCATGCACCAGGGGGAATTCGCCGCGGTCGAGAATCGCGGTGCCATGTGGGCTTGCGGTTATACCTTTGCCGGCATTAATTTCATCCCCGAATCACCACGTTGGCTACTGAGTCACGACCAAGACGAGACATCATTGAACGTTCTGAAGCGTATCCACGCTCAGGCGGGCGACCCTGACCACATCAAAGCCAAGGAGGCGTGCCACCTCTTGGTGAAGCAGCACAAGGCTAACAAACAAGTCTCTTTGAACCGAAGCTTCGAAATTCTACGTACCAAGGCCAATCGATATCGCTCCCTGGTCTCCATGTTGCTCATATTCTTCGATCAAATGCAGGTTGTCTACGTCTTGGTCAGTTACGGCGTGCTGATATATGGCTCGCTTGGACTGAGTGGCAAGATACCGCATTTCCTCAACGCGTGCTGGACCACGTATGCCATCGTCGGCAATACCATCACCGTATTCATTGTCGATCGCTTTGGGCGCCGGCGGCAATTGCTGATTGGTACCATGGGCTGTCTCACCAGTCTGATCTTCGAGGCGGCACTCACAGCAACTTACCTTGGCACAAACAACAAAGCCGGCCTGCACGCCTGTGTATTCTTTGTGTGGCTGTTCATCACCTTTTGGTCCTGTTGCGTTGGAAGACTGACCTTGATGCCGCCCTCGCCCCTACGAACGTAGTCGTGAACAAGGTGCTGACCGGAGATGACAGGATGCTACGCAATTCGTCTACGTGTCTGAAATTTGGCCAAACCACCTCCGGTCTCAGGGGACTGCACTGGGGCTGGCGAATCTCTTCTTGGCCGATGAAATCACGCTGGTCGCCGCTCCCGTGCTATCCCATTGCGGCTGGAAATCCTGGTCGTCTTGTCGCTATTGGTCTGGTCTTCGGTCCCTCCGTCACGCAGCTTCCTAGTAAAGTCCTTTTGAGAGCCGATGCTATAAAGTCAGATCACCTAAACGCTCTATAGATTTTTCTATTAGATAGCTGGGTAATTACTATTTTGAATTATATGGTTCTCTTAAGCCCGCTCGGCGCGGCAGAGTAATTTGGCAATATTCGCTTAGGTATATCTACTCCGCTCCTGTTCTTCCCGACATCTCTGTTTTTCCTCGCTACATACTTTCTGTACAAATTAACGGAAGGAAAAAGCCTTCGTAGAATTAAGGCGCTCGATTTACCCTTTGGGTAGGAATATAACCAATTTCCAATAAACACTCTAACCGCTTGTCTTCAAGCCTCTGCTATAACATCAAATCAAAAGCGTAACCACTTGAAACCATTCGCTGAGCGACATTACTCATGACGTGCTGGTAAGACTGACCAAGTGAACTGCAAGGTCAAAAGCAAGTCCTCATGAACTATAAAGGGAACGCAATTATCGAGACAATACAATTCGTGTGCTCTGTTGCCGTTTCCCTATTTCTCTACATGCTCTCCTAATAGAGCGCCAAAGGAGACAGAGCAACTCAGAGAACCTCAGCCGTGTCGGTAGTTCATCTCCTTCTCCCAGAGACTGTTCGGCGATTATTCCCCGTGTAGATGTCTCTGCAAGCTTGCAGTGAACGGGCGTTCTCAGGCGTTATCTAAGGTAAAGTTATACTGGGTCATCGACGTCCGGGTCAAAAGGTGTCGTCAGCCAGCCATTGCCTATGAGTATTTACCTTGTCTGGAATAGCTTGCCCCACTGATTCCCTCCTTAGTTATCCAGAGTTTCACTTCGGTCCAGGGCTCGCAGATCCATTGATGTGCGTGCTCCAGATATTGACTCTCGGGGAAGACATCTCCGCAATTAATGGCTTGCTCGTTTCTATCCCGACTCTCGGAAAAGGCTCCTTCCTCCACGAGTGTGGCTGTTTCTGCAAGCTCGTTTAAAGATGGAAGAACCCACTTGAACGCCACAAATTTGAGCCCTTGACTTCCAAGGGGAGTGTTCGAGGCAATCCTGTTTCCTTAGTTGGATCTTGCTGGGGAGTGAAAACTTCATTAGATGACCAGGCAAAGTCAGCACGATCGACCATGGTGCCAAAGGGCATCGGCAAACAAGTCGGGGAGAATTTCAAGTCGAGACGACGGTCACCGGAGTCACGGCCAAATTGAGCCACAGCTGATTCGTCGATAAGCCCATGGTCACTGACCACTGACATAGAATGCCCTTGTTTGTGTGGCCAAATGGAGAATTGCACCTCCGAAGCGGCGCTCGGTCCGGGGTCCCCGGTACTTTGGACTGAGAAAATGTCATCGACTCGCTTCGAGGCTCCACGAATCGCGACTCCGGTCGAGAAATCGGTGCGCACAACTTAACGCGGGGTGCGGGGAGTTTCCCCGCCCTTCTCGAGCCCCCGAAATTCGTACGCGATGTGATCGTCGGGCCAGTGACCTAACTCCTTCTTTGTTCTGTCTGTCGTCTTTGCTCGCATCGTTCATGAGTCGTCCTTTGCTGAGTGAGAATCTGCCACGAACAGCTTCCCCAACTTCCTTGCTTACCCGAAGCATGGATAGAGTCTGGTCCGACTTCAATTTCAATTTGCCCGCCTCGCTCCTCGCCGACGATGGCATCTTCAATGGCCCGACCAAAGAGGCCTTCGAGACGGCACGACGCAAAAGGAGGCGCCCAACCTCCGATCAAGATATGTTCCTGGCCTGCAACGCCTGCAGGCAGAAGAAGGTCAAGGTAGGGCACCAGTCTCGCATTGTCTCCATTGTCCTGGACTAAATATCTGGAATGGGGTTACGAGTAGTGTCAAAGAGACAGCCGAAGCCCTTGTACCCGTTGCGTGAAACTGGGGTTGTCCTGTTCCGTGCCGGAGGAGGATGGAAGGAAATTGTATGTTGTGCCTTGACCCGGCGCCCCTTCCCACCGTCAGAGCTTTCCTTTGGCTTGACGGACCGCTTTCGCTAAGCAAAGAGCCCGACATGTAGCAATTCAACCCGGAATTACACCACGAAGCTGGAACGCCGCGTCCTGCAGCTGGAAGCGGAGCTGCGCAAGCACGGCTTGGACGTCCCTCCCAGCAGCGAACCAGCAGGCGAGCCCACCGATGTATCATCCCAGTTGTCGGACTCCACGCGCCATGAATCCCTCAACTCTTCTCGAGGAGGCATCCAGTCCAGGAGGTCTTCTACCAATCTAATTGGCAGGCTTTGTCGGGCTGAGCCACGGATCAGTACAGACCGAGCAGGTCGGCTGCATTTCTACGGGCCCTCTTCCAGCCTCCACACCGCCGAGAGTATATCTTCTTGGTTTTCATGTAGCGAGACGCTGGGAGGGGTGCCGCAAAACAATGCCCGCGAGCTGCCATGTAAGCTCCAGAATCACCTCCTCGACCATTATTGGAAGTACCAGCATGGAGTCATCCAATTGGTTAACCGACAAGCCTTTTTGAGCGACATGGAAGCCGGTCGTTGCCGGTACTACAGCAAGGCTTTGCTCTACGCCATATTGGCCTCGGCCGCCAGGGTGTCAGATTACCCGGAGATCAGGGCTCTGGTGGTGCCGGCCGAGGTTGAGACACACAGCTACCGTTGTGAAGAGCCTTATCTGTTCCGGAAAGCCACCACTCTGGTGGAAGAGGAGCTACAGAATGATGCAAGCGTGACCACTGTGCAGGCTCTGGGCCTGTTGAGCGTAATTTGTGTTTCTTACTCGGGTTCGGACGTGAGAGGATGGATGGACTCAGGTACGCACGACCGCAAATATGCTCAGACACTCAGTATTGAGAAATCGACTTAGGTCGCGCCATCCGTCTCGCTTTCGAATTCGGCCTCAACCACGAGCTCTCCAAGGTGCGAGAGGACAGCTGCACCCAGATGGACTCGGAAGTTCGTAGAACTGCATTCTGGGGCTGTTTCACCTTGGATCAGTATGTTTACCGGGCTTGGCCCTCGGTTTTGACGTCGTATATATTGACCCTCGTAATCACAGGTTGTGGTCGACATACCTTGGGCGACCTCATCTGATAAGCCTCGACGATGTCACGCAAAGTCGTCCTGCAGCATCACCGGGCGAGCACAAGTGGGACGATATCATTGCTGGTGCTTGGGCTGGCCTGAGTGAACTCCTCGAGCGCATATGCGATTCCATGTATCCACAACTTCGACTCCGCGTTCCGCCGCTTGCTAATTTGGTCTACACAGAAATCGAAAACTTCCGTCGAACATGCTCCTGCAACAAGACGCGCGCAAGTGGCTGTCAGCGCTACATCCGAGCCTTCATTACGCTCCAGAGTCGCCACCCGCTGTTCACGTGTTACAGTAGGTTATCCTCCACGAATAGCGTATCTTGTTCGAGGCCAAGTGCTCTCTTCCTTGAGAAGCTATGGAGATGGCCGTCTTTACTATCTGTCGCTGACTCTGCTGACTTGGGAGCCAAGTCTCCATTATCACAGTGCCTGCATGCTGGAAAGGCTCTCAGAAGCTCGTTTCGGGGCAGCGATCCCAGATATTTCCCCGGAGACGGTTACTGCCCGCTCGACCTGCATCAGTCACGCCCTACGGGTCGCAGCCATCACCAAAGACTATAGAACTCATCACGGAAGTGCGCGGACCATGATAGGTAACTCAATCTCCGGCATCATCGTCGCAGTGTTGGTTTTGATAGCGAACTGGATGGACAGAGGGGAGAGCGATGCGGGCGAGTGCCTCGAACTCGTCGATTCGTGTGTCCGCAGCGTGCAAGAGATGCAAGTCTCCTTCGCCTGCGCGCGGACCCTGTCCAAGCAGGTGCTCTATCTAATGCGCCGATATAACTTTCCTTCGCTCCCTTCACAAAGCCGGACCACGTGGAACGAGGCTGACAACAGTCTCTTGTCTCAATTGAGTCAATCGCTCCCAATCTTCTCTTCGGAGCCAGGTTCTGTGATATCTCATGAGCACGACCTCGACCTGTTTCCTGCAATGTTTGAACACGGAGGGTTTGAGATGTCGATGCCATGGACCATGTCACCCGAAGTGATGGGTCTCTTATAGATGCATTTAAGTACCTTTGCCTTAATGAGGGCCCCAAGCAAATTAATAATAGCCTCGGGAACTCGACCTTTACGAGCTGGAACTGCCCTCAAGTGGTAGTGTCCCGTCGCGGAATACATTTTCCATCCCTCTCTAGGTTTCGCCGGTTGTTTAAGACGACTACTTAGCTATCAGAGCTGCTTCCTGTCTGGCCTAACGGGGTCAGGCTTCCTTCAGTCACGGTTCCTTTAACAGATAAGCTAGGTCCAGTAGACGTAAGGTATAAGCAGTCAGTAACTGAAGAATAGTATGGTAAAGTAGATATCATAAGTTTGGAAGACGTGAGTGGTAGGGTCCTCAAAGTGTTGATTTCCATGTAAGAGAGCTCGTCTTGCCCTGCTATTTAAATGCATATTTGGTAGGTGCACCAGTTCCTAACTCGGTTTATGGATATAACGGCATCGCCAAAAGAGTCTACGGAAACTTCCGATTCGAACTGATACAAAATTCTGGGGACTGCGTCTACAATGCAGAGACACCAGAAATGATTGTTGAAAACCGCAGTCTAGCAATCATACAGCCATGGATTCGCTTGCCATGCCGGGGAACCTTTGGCGATCGTGACTATTAGTCGACTAGGGAGAATTCGACGAGTCAGAGCCGGAGTAGAACCAGTCCGGGCAACGTTGTCCATAGGCATATAGATGAAATTCCCGTCCAATACGCCAACCTGGTGGAGGGGCATATTCTATAGCTTTTCTTTGAAATGACGATATTTCGCTGGCCATATGCCCTGCTTACCGGGTGACAGGATTCCATTCGGATCTACCGTATCCTACCAGACTGGTGAGCAACTACTAGATGCGGTGGTCTTCTGGTTCACGAACCTTCAGTCTCTCCACAAATCTCCGGTATGCGTGATCGTTGAAGTCGTACGCGTCCGCAACCAGATCTAGAAGCTTGGTCAGACATGGTCCTTGGAATGGTGCAATGCTTTCATACCCATGTAGTTAATGTGGGACCGATACTTGCTGAAACCTCTTTGTCGACCTTCTCTGTACAGGTCCCGGAAAATTGCATCCACGGTTTTCCGATGGCTGGGGTTTGCCTTATCGAAGACCATCATGTTGACAAAAATGAGGTGTCGTTCATGCATAAAAAAGTCGCAGAAGAGGTCGAACCCTCGGCCTTCACAGATATTGCGAGCCGTTTTCACCCACTCAAGCACCATTTTGCCATCAGAGGGAATGATGGGAGAATAGTCCGCATGGGCACCTATGCCGGCCTTTTCTTTTGGCAATCTGTATCTCACCATTGGTAGGCTCCACAGGCTGGGAACTCCGACGAAGAAGCCACCATGGGGATCCGGGATCGAGTTTGCATCTAGAAGCTTGTCGTCTCCCCCAGAGAAGAGGTGACCTTGAAGACGGTACTCTGCGCCAGGCACCTTTTGTCCTATTATCCTCTTCAATTCGTCAAAGTGGGATTGGACCACCGCCTTTGCACCATACAGGCCAAATTTGACGTTCCAGTATCCGAACCCTAGTTCTTTTTGAAGTTCCCGGAGGCGCCAGTCTGGAATAGGGCCTTCTTCTGGCCACAACTCAGCACGTTTTCCCGTCATACCCAACCATTCCACAATATTCGAGACGTATACTGTGTTAGGTAACAGGCCATCTCTGCGTAATGATCCGAATATATCAACAATGATTTCGACGTCTTCAAAATTAGGCATGTCAAACGTGCAGGACATGTAGGCTTGTGGTTGCGGATGAAGCCAGATCCCCATCTTAGTGACGATTCCCAGATTGCTCTGCAGAAACAAGCCTTCGATAGACGGACCAAAACTGAACTTGGAGAGGTGTGCTGATGGGGAGTTGGATATCGCAAACTGGCCCGTCCGCACAAGGTCGCCGTCAGCAAGCATGACCTCCATTCCACTGATGTGCTGATGGTGTGTTGCCGTCGGTGTGAAACCGGTACCGCGGTCCACGGTCTGTAAGACGATGAGTATTTCTGCCAGTCAATATGAGTGCATCGCTTACGTTCCCGACCACGCTTCCCCATCCCAGTGAAGGAACACTTGGCCAGACTCCCAGCTTGTGCTCGACACAGTAGAGGTACAGGTCTGTAAAGGTAACTCCCGGCTCGACCACCGCATAAGAGAACTTGTCGTTGACCTCAATAATCTTGTTCATGCGATGCAGGTCGAGTGCGACGGACCCATTAAGCCTTGGCGCTGGTCCTCCATATCTGCGGGTCTCAGTTTCTGGACTCCTTCTTTCAGTTCACACACTCACCCCAAATTCTTCCCTCGCGAGAAGGTCCAAACAGGAATACCAAATTTGTTGGCGACTTTCAAGACTGCCTGGAGCTCATCGATTGAACAAGGACTGAATGTTCAGTGAGAGCTGCATTCGCTTTCCCATGGCGACACTCACCATACCGCCGCACTCGGCATTTTCCTTTTGCCTTCATCCTCCCACAATTCATAGGGATCTACATACTCTTCCAGCGCCTGTCCTTTGAAGACATTGTCCTTCCCGACCGCTTCTCCGAACTCGGCAACCGCACAATCAAACTGTTGCTGATTGACACCAGGTGGAAGGACATCCTCGAGGGGGCATAGAAGAGTATGCGAAAAGAGGTTGCGGTGATTTTGTTGATATTCCGGATCGTTGTATCGGATTGGAAATTTGGCGTCTCCCGAACCCATGGCTGATTCACGGTAGAAGTCAGTACACGATGATGTTCGACCTCTGTGCCGCATCGCAAAGTCATCTCCCGTTGCCTTTTGAATATCTACCACTGATTGACTGCAGGGGTATACTTGCTCCAAATGGGGCCCTCCAAGTCACTCCCTGAGATCTTCAACCCCACATTCGCCTATTGGAGACAGGGCATTGCTGCTCCTTCAGATCTCACTCCACTTCCCCAAACGCTTTTGGCGGAGTACTTTCCAGGCTTTGCTAGTGGGGCCCGGTGGAGGTGAAGATGTGGTAGCGCTGAATGAATCAGTTACTCTGAATGCACGGATTCTAGGAAGGCACAAATCCACCTAGGTATATACACGGTTGGGGAGCTTGTCAAGTTCAACCTGAATTAGGCACGATAAGAACTTTTCATAGGAGTGCTTAGCAGAGAGTACTGATTGTCGTCCAGAGACCATCCCAGATCCTGCCGCCATTTTCTCCTCCTACCATGGCAGCATGGCTGCTCTGTCTGCTTCAATTACACCTTGCCAACATTCTCCACAAGAGTCTCGACCCCATGGGTGCTTTTCGTCTCCCCATCATGGGTTATGGCCGGCTCACCTCCAACCTTCTGATGGACGAGCTCGGTCACTCCGAACAAGTCATCCATCTGTTCCAGAGACATCCCTATCAATGGGTTAGATGGGTAGAGTCTTTTCTACTTCTCCCGTGTACGCACCTTTAGTGTCTGGAACAAAGAACCACACAAACACAAATGAACAGAGGCAGCAGACGCTGAAGAATATGTAGGTTCTGCATCCACACGTCAGCGACCGGGTAATATTGGTGGGCTTCCTTCGATGCTTTGACAATGGACTCACCCATATCCATTACTACCCATGTTCACCAACATATTTGGCACGGCTCTTGCAATGACAAAGTTCCAGAGCCACTGGGAGGATGCAGCGATGGACACGTTCATAGAGCGCAGTCGTGCACTGGGAATTTCTGACACATATATCCAGGGTGTCGCCCCCCATCCCATTTGGAAGAAGACTGCAAACAAGTAGATGCAGACAAGGGCAAAGTATCCTGCACCCGAGATCGGCACACCAGGTTTGGGCGGCGAGATGCGAACGTAGAGCCCAATGTACATCATGTCGCAGGCAATGGCAATGGCAGTCCAAAGGAGAGATCGTCGTCGCCCCAGCGAATCGGCAAAGAATATCAGATAGGTCGCACACGAGCACATCTTCACAATTCCGTAAATGCCGGTCGCCAGAAGGCTCACTGAAGTCCCTGTGATCCCTATGTTCTTGAAGATTGTGGGTGCTAGAAAACAACCAGTCAGATCTTAACACGACCAACCAGCCATAAGCCCATGGGCCTCACCGTAATAATTGATCGCATTGGAACCGGTCAAATTCTGGAACATCATGAGGACAAAGCTGATCAAGGCTCGTTTCCGGTTGCCTGGTATCGTCCACATCTCACGTTGTAGAGCTCGCCAGCCTGCGCCGTTGATCAATAAGCGTTCGCGCTCAAGTTGGATGGCAATGTCTTGAAACTCGCTCTGCAAATAGGGATGGTCCTCGGGAAGATTCCGAACCAAAGATAGGACCTTTTTGGCCTTTTCCCATTCGTCCTGCTTGGCGAGATGGCGAGGGGATTCATTCATGAAGAACATGCCAACGATCAAAAGGATTGCCGGTATTCCTTGTGTTGCTAGAGGAACGATGTAGGAGCTGGAGCCGGTAAGGTGGAGTTCGGCACCATAGTCGATCCAAAATGCAAGCATCACACCGAAAGTGTTGAAGAACTGAAAGGTTCCAGTAAGCGCACCCCGGAGAGCCCGAGGAGCGTTCTCGGAGACATAAAGAGGAGCAATCATTGAGCATGCTCCTGCTCCGAGGCCAGCAATAAGCCTACAGGGTGGTCAGATGATGATATCTATCCGAGTGTCGTTGGTGTGAGACGTACCGAGCTGTATACATGCACCCTAGGTAACCCGAGGCGGCAAATTGCATGACAATTCCCACCAGGCCGATGAAGGCAGAACCCATCAGGGAAGCACGTCGTCCATATCGGTCGGCGAAAGGGTATGCAAGTAAAGCGCCGAATATGCACCCGAGCTGGAGGAACGAGACAATGTTGGCCGAGAGGGTTGCGGCATCGTTTTTGCTGAGGCCATCAAAATGATACTTCCTACGGCCTTGTCAATTGCTTTGTGCCCACGGAGGATTGAGCCAACTGACTTGGTAAAAGCAGGGAGAACGATGACACCGCCAATGATACCCGTGTCCATACCAAAGAGCATGCCGGACATACATGCCTGCGAAGAATGAAGTCAGTGCCTGCGCACTTCAGAATGTGGATTGTAAGAGAATGCAGCCTTGGGACTCGAATTTGATAAATGGCACATACTGTCAAGGTCAGCACGAAAGATCTCCATCCATAGATCTCGACGGGATCTTCCTTCATAGCGTCATTGCGAATGATCTTTTTAAGGATAGAAGCCATGCTGTCGGTGGTCTCGCAAATGCAAAGAGGTTGACGGATGAGCTCCTGCAAAACACAAGAAGTGACCCGGAGCGGGAATTGGACACTGGGAACCAATGTCAATATATTCCAAGTCTAGAACGATTCAAACCTGTGGGGGGACCGATGGAATGCATGAGACCTGCAGAGGGATTCCGTCGGCAATGCATTATACCCTCACACGGTAGGTAGTAGCAGACAACAACCATAACACCCGCCGGGGTTGTTCTCCGTTCATCCCCGGTCGTAAGATCATACCACAGGGAATCCGGGATGCTGCTGATCGGGTATCATCCTGGTCGTAATCCAACTCTGGATTTCGGGATTTGCTGATTGACGTGCGGCTGGAAAAGCAATGCCTTTTCCGACATTTTCAAAAGACGCGGATTTGTGTTTGGTTGGTGCGAATCAAAACTATTTCCCCCAGGGTGGATATCGACTGCAGCCGTTCTGGGGTCATGTCGGCCCGGACTCTAGGCCTGAATCGAGAATGACATGGATGGGAGTCGGTGGCAAGACCGTCTCTTCAAATGAATATACCATCTGGCAGCAATCCAGCAGCAGAACCTCACTGCTCTATCTATCCTCTCCCCCAAAGTTATTGATTCAGACATGTCTCTTTCCTCATTGAATCGAGGAAGTCTTCCCTAGCACCTTTCGGAGTAGTACCGCATCCCTTGGAACAAACGTTGCGCGGAAACGATGAGGCTGTGCGACCAGCTTGGATGGATCGGCGGTACCACGAACCGGGTCAAGGTCCACATCACCTTCAAGCCCAATTTTGAAGCAGCAAATAAGTCGCATAACAATGAGATAGAGCTCACGGTTGGCGAGCAAGAACCCAGCACACATACGATAGCCAACACCATATGTGAACAGAGGTGCATCTGGTTGTTCTAGCCAGCGACTTGGTCGGAAGACCTCAGGATCGTGCCATAATTTGGGATCTTCAGCGATTCTGTCAGCCGGGGGCATGAGATGGAAAGGAAAAGATGTCCTACCCATATTGCAGGCATGAGCATTTAAAAAGAAGGTTGTTCCCTTAGGAAAGTTCATGCCATCGTAAGTGATATCTTTGATAGAAGTCCGTGGCAAATTGAGTCTGAGGACGGTATACATCCTCAGCCCTTCCTTCACCAGCGCCACAATATAAGGGATCTTTTGGTCATCATTGGCGTCGCAAAGGGGACTTTCAGCACCATGCAGCTCTTGAATGGCTTCATAAGCAGCTTCTTGAATATCAGGGCGTTTAGCCAAAACCGCTATAAGCCAAGCAACGGCTGTAGTGACCGTGTCGAGACCGCCAGATATCATAGTCAGGTTTATGCTGGTGACTTCTTCTTCGTTGAGTCGGATATCCGGGTCATTAATGATCGTTTCTTGAATGCAGGGGCTCTGAATCCCCTTTTCCATACGGTCGAGAAGACCTCGATTCAGCTGATCGAGGTAGGCATCTTGTCGATGGCGTGTAGCTTTAGCTTTCATCACGGTTTGATTGAACGGTTTGAGCCTCAGGAGCGGAATATAATCTTGTAAGTTCCCAGTAACGCTCCTAAAACGGCTTACCTGGTCCTCCACTTCAATTACCTCGTTGAACAGCCTGTCATCGCGAGATTCCATCCGAATACCCCAGTTGGTAGTTAATGCTAGACTCAAGCTGAGACGTTGTGCACTTGGATAACAATCAAATGCCTTCTTGCCCCAGTGACCCTCGACAAGTAAGTCTTTGCAGAACTCCCTCGTTTCGAGGTCGAGGTGAGCGATGTATCTTTGGGCAGAAGGGCGATTAAGTGCTGCCGCTGTCACTTTCCGTCGTCTTTTCAGGCTGTCACTGTATGGAGTGGTACCAACAGTGGTTGCTGCGCCCGTGAGGACCTTTTCCTATATCAGCTCTCGGCTCATCCAAGACGACGTGCCTCGCGTACGTACTTTGTGAAAAGTATAAAACTCTGGTCTTGAGCTCAACGCGGAAGTGTGTTGACCAAAGAGGCCTCTTGCTGATTCCGCAGAGTTGACAACAATTATAGGCACATTTCCAAGTGACACTTGATATACGGATCCGTATCTCTTGGACCAGATCCGATACTGCTCTGCAGCATTCTTCCGAATGGACCACAGATTTCCTACAAGCGGCAGACCGACTGGTCCAGGTATACCGGGGAGTCTCACAGAGTAGCGGATCAATTCGTTGGTGACCAGGTATAACAACGGGACGAAGAGCGTCAAAACTGCAATGTAGTGGGCAGCTTGACCGACAGACAGGTCGCTGAAAGTTGGGAAGGAGATGCCAAGGGGGCCCATGTCGCTCTATACTGTGTCAAGGATCAATCTTACCTGCAGAGCTCATTGACGGAGCAATGCTAAGAAGACTGATGAAGTGGTGGTGGTAGGACTCAGCTCGTATCGAGAAGTGCTTGGAGTGCTATGGATTCGGTTGAGCAGCTTCTTTATTTGCAACTTAGGACTTCTGCTCCATCATCCAGCATTCATCTTAGCCGCTTCCAAGAATGATATGAGTCTGAGAATTCCCCTTGAACCGCGGAAAACTGCTCCAACGGAATATCGCCGTATGGGATTTGGTGAGAAATCCGAAGGTTGTTTTACCCCATTCGCCCCCAGGATACCAGGGCTAATTTCAATAGCAGGCTAAAGATTCATTCTCCGCCAACAAAAAGGTTTTCCGTGATCCTGGGAAAGTTTTTCATCACATATCCGCGTCGAGCCAATTCTTCCTCTGTGCAAATGAGCCTGCCCAAATGGACACTGAGAGATTACCGGGTCGATTCATGCTACCACCTGCCCCTTCGCTACAGAACCTGATCCCGGCTTCTGGAGTAAATGACGGTATGTCCCCCGCCTCCTACAGCTTTGAGATTGGCAGTACCGGTTTCAGTACCAACTTGCAGGAAGCGGCAATCTTTCTTGGTGACAAATGCAGGCCTGAGCACCAGAATTCCCGTGTGAGGCGAAGCTCAATGGGGTTGACGGGAAGCAGAAACGGCGGCAGTGCCAAGGCCAGAAGAACCAAGGTCAGCAGAGCATGCGATGCTTGCAAACAGTGAGCTGTCAACGGTCTTTACGTTGCCACATTTCGCTGCTGACACGCAAGGACAGAAAGAGGACACGCTGCTCGGGAGATCAACCATGTGTCCGTTGCAGACACCTACACCTTTCCTGTGGGTATTTTGCCAGCTACACCAGGGGTCGCCTACCCACAGTACCAACGGCTTCAGTGGCTGCTCAGGGTGAGGTCTGCCCTAGTTCACAGGATGAATTGGATGATATCCCTTCCATACTGAGTCGAGGCTCGATCATTTCAACACAGTCCCGTCAACATGTGGACAACTCCAATGAGCACTCTGGTTCTGGACACGCGGCACATGTCTCATCACGGAACTCGCCAGTTCCCAGTACGAATATTGGCGGCCAGTATCATGGGCCTTCTTCTCCAATTACCTTCCTGGAAAGAGCCTGGAAACGCATCCGGGAGAACCACGCCTCAAGCATATCAAAGACTCTGGAAAAGGAAATATCGGCTGAGGAGCCTCTTTTGGTGACCGACGGCAATGAAATGCGCCTCGCAGATGAGCGTTTCCGCATGCCGTCAAAGTCTCGGACCTATAACCTAGTCGAGAGATATTTTGAGATCGCCACGCCTTTCTTCCGGTTCCTCCACAAGGGTACAGTCACGAACCTGGTCAATACGCTGTATCAACAACCAAGTGAGCCACATACTGCTCACAGCACTATATCTCAAAGCCAAGTCACGCTCTTGTTAATGATTTTTGCGGTGGCTGCCTCCGATTGTGGCGCAGACGGCGTTTTCGGAGACTACAGACAAAGGTGCTTTCAAGTAACCGACTTTGTTATTGCCACATCGCTGACTCTTAGAGTGACGACAGTGAATTGCTCCTCGAGGCTGCGCAAAGACGCTTGCAGCGAGAACGTGGTGCACCAACTCTGGACTCGGTCCAGGCGAGGCTTGTCGAATGTCTGCACCTCTTATCCAGTCGACATGCAAACGAAGTCTACTGGAAATTCGGGGCCACGGTCGCATTAATCATCACCCTGGGCCTTCATCGCCGTAAGCGGCTAGGAGGCTACAGATCGGAAATCGGAGCCATCGAACATGAGTGTCGCAAGCGAGCATTTTGGGTCGCCTATGTTCTAGATCGGTATCTCAGCGTTATGGGTGGCCGTCCACGGACTCTCCAAGATTTTGATGCTGATCAGGACTTTCCAGCAAGAGTACATGATGATGAGTTGAAGTTTGAAGGCATTGAGCCCAGGGGAGGTCATTTTGACTGTGACATGGACGCACCCATCATGCATATCAAGTATCTCCTCCCTCAGCCTCGTTGTCGAGTGATGGAATTGCTAAATCTGAGTTCAGGCTTGCCCGGATCAGTGCCCAAAGCTCTGCCCAAGTATACCCTCTGCGGCGAATAGGTCAAGACGAAAGACTCTCACAAGCCCAACGTATATCTGCAGACCTGGCAGCATGGAAAGGGGAGCTGCCGCCATTCCTCGGTATGATTCCTGCCTCGAGTCTGATCCCCAAGTTTCAACGACAGTCAGTTACTCTTCTCCTGGCACACGCCCACGCCGCTATCCACGCCAACAGGCCATTTCTTTTGAACAATTTTGCAACCGCCTCGAACCCACCTCATTTGACGCAACAAGCCGTCCGCTATGTTCACGACTGCGTTGCCGCTGCTCGCAGCGTGGTGGATGTTCTGAAAAGTTTCGATGGTAATGGCATTGCTTTCCATTCCTGGTGGTTCACACAGTATATCTCGTTCTGTGCCGTGGCAGTCATCTACATCTACACGATACAGCAGCACCAGAAGTTAGTCTCCACCCCAGCAGCCTTTGCTTCGGACGAGACAGGTATTCAGTCATCGTTTCTCGCTTCTGGCAAGGAGAGAGACTGGTTCGCCATGGCAGAGAGCTGTCAGCAGAGGCTCGCAGCGGCTGCTAGGGAGAACTCACCAGGGACAAGGTATGCCATTGTTTTGGAGGAACTGCGGCAAGAAACATGCCGCCGTCTGTCGACGCATGGATCAGCCTATGGTGACGACTCCCACAGTGTCTCAACGGGGGTCGAACAAATCCCTTTGCAGGACGGAATACAAGATAGCTGGACTGAAGAAACGACCACAGATTTTACGCATATGTTCGATGATCTGGGCGCAGTAGATTGGATTGCGCACTTATATCACTTGGTAGGCCCACCTTCGGCTCTGATATCCAGCTTCATTTAATACGAACTAAGCATTAGCGACTACAGCAGGAAACACATCCTCTCGATAGTCAACAAGCCTCGGACGACACAAGTTCTTGAGCTTACCGAAACACCAGATGTAACGAGCATTGAAGCTGACCGGCTAAGAATGCTCTCGCAGCCTTGAAGACACAGCTCCTCAAAATCCAGGCCACGATTTTCGAAACGAAGAGTATCATTCTTGACATAGGCACTCGTAGTAACTCCTCGTTATTTCCACGCTGTCCAAGCGATACTCTGCAGGATAAATCCAACAATACCCACAAAGAGAAGCCCCAAAGAAGTCCTGCTCAGTCTGGTCTCCTCCACAACTCTTCGGATCTTGGTGGCTTTATCGGCTGTCCCGAACATGGCAACCTCAGAGCCTCCCATGCCGAACGCATCATAGTCTGTCCACTCTACTGTTGCCAAATTTTTCTGGTAATCAATGGCTGTTCCCGCCCAGTTGTTCGTGATGAGACCGTCGGCTCTTTTCCACCAGCTGTTACAATTCGGGTCAGCGAACGATGTCTGTTGCAGCGCTTTTTGCAGGTCGAGCCAATAGCTGAGAGTCTTCTCTTCCGATGGACACAATGCCAGTCCGCCACCTGTGCGTCTAGCCTGCAGGACCTTATTGACAAGGACTGAGATGTACTTTGTCTGCGCTTCGATAACAAGTATCAAAGAGTTATGGGAGAGGTTTGTGTTTGGCCCATACAGCATGCCAAAATTCGGAAGATCTGGCACCGTCACGCCTTTGTAAGCATAAGTCGCTTTCGCCCAGATGTCCTCCAGCCGCCTGCGGTTGCGCCCAGTGATGCCAATGGGCGACAAGAATGAGAATGTATCAAATCCAGTCGCCAACACGATCAAGTCGAACTTTTCTGCCGAGTCATGGCCTTGGAACTTGATTCCGTCTCGCGTAAATCGTTCGATCTTGTCGGTCTCCAATTTGACATTTTGCCTCAAAAAAGTAGGGTAGTAGTCGTCACTGATCACAGTCCTCTTGCATCCAGGATGGTATCTAGGGGACAATTTAGCCCAAAGGTCAGGACGATTAGGCAGCTGTTCCCTCAAAAGATTGTAGTTCATAGATCTCATCAGATCGGCATAAGCCGAGTCAGCTTGGGTGACTGCGGAGTGAAAAGATTCCCGAAAGTCCATGGCCTCCGCTCGAGCTCGCCAGCGTGCTGGGGGGAGATATGTATGTAGGGTTTGCTGCCAGTGGGGAATCTTCTCATCATGGCGTGGAATAACCCAAGCGGGTGTTCTCTGACAGATGGTAAGCTCAGATGCCAGTCTTGCGATTTCTGGAGCGATCTGTGCAGACGTGGCGCCTGTGACGTGTCAGTCAGAAGAGCAAGGATCAGAGCAATGCGTCTTACCGGTCCCAATGACAGCAATTTTCTTTCCTTTCAAGTCATAGCTCCAGTCCCATCTGGCGGAATGCATGATCTTCCCCTGATAATCGTTGTATCCGGGAGTATCAATTCCTTTGGGATTGTTGAGTTGGCCAGTCCCCGCCACCAAGAAGTCACTGGTGATTTGATAGGTAGGGGTGAACTCGGATTCTTTCCCTTCGCCTACAGTCACTGTTATTTCCCACTTGAGGCATCTATCATTCCAGTTGGCAGCCTCGACAGTTGTGTGGAACCGAGTATACTTATAAAGTCCATATTTTTGAGCGACGCTGGTCAGGTAGTCCTGGTGATCCTCAGTATACAAGCACATACGAGGAGAAAGAACTAACCAGGATCTCTTCCTGGCCCGGATAACGATGAGACCATCGGGGGTTCTGTGCAAATGAGTAGGAGTAAAGCACGCTGAAGACATCACAACAGCAACCAGGATATCTGTTATCTCTCCTGGCTTTCATTAGTATCATCCGTGGTGTGGTTGTTGAGGTACTAACCAAGTTCCCCCGAAACCGCCTCCCTTCTCCAGGAGTATTATGTTCTTGGCCCTCTGGTTGACTAAAAGATCGATTGCCATGCACATTCCAGATATTCCTCCACCAACAATGACTACCTCGGCTTTC